AAATTATTTACATATCAAGTATGATATTAATAAGGTTCCCAAAATCTTCATAAAATATAAAGAATAACTCATGGTAAAAAACTCAAGGTCTGAAACCATTTATTTCTAGCCCTATCGAAATCAGCTTCCACCTCTTGAAAAACTCTCATGTTTCTTTCTTTCAACACTATCCAAAAAATAGCAAGAGGAATGAGGGCCACATGTTTCTTCCCACCGTTAATACCCTTCCAAGCTCAAATCTCATTCCTTACAGTAACTGCCATTACACAAACAATCCTCAAGAGCCCAAGTACCATGGTCTATAACTTATACACAAGTGGGCATCATAGCAAGATGTGATTACAAGACTTCTCCACCCTCCTGCATAGGAAACATCCGTTCACTATAATCTTTTCTCTTCTCATTAACTTATCAATAGTGAGGATACATCCCCTCCCTGGCTCCCAAGTGAAAAAAAAAATAATAGGAGGAGCATTCATCTTCCAAATTTTTCGGAAAGAAGCTGGTATCAGTGGAGTTGTTATTAACAAGTAGTTATAGAAAGATTTAATTGCGAATATTCAGCATTGAGGCTCCAAACTAGTTGACCATTACTTCTGCTCAGATAGGCTAGGGATAGTGATATGAGAAGGGACTCGTATTCACTGATCTCTTAATCATTGCGGTTTCTCGTCAACTCCACATGCCATTCCTTATTCCTCTCAATGTTTCTGAAGGACTCACAAGGCAAGATATCTTTATATCATGCAATAGCAAAAATCTATGAAAATTGATCTCTAAGCTCCTCCCCTAAACGAAGAGTCCATCCAGAAACTGATTCTTCTCTATTGCCAACCGTTCCTTGATACTTTCCTCAAATTTATCCCTCCACATGCGAATTATTATTCATGTCCCCTTTCCATGCAGTCCTAACGATATTCTAGAATACCATCATCTATCCACAATACCAAACTTCGCCTCATTTACCTTCAGCCAAAGAATACCTTTTTTTTTTTTCCATAAACTACCACAGCCACTCACCATGTGGCATTATATTCATCTTAACAAAAGATCCCAACCCCAACCCAGCCTGCTGCATCGGTTTTTTAATCTCATCTCATGCCACCAAGTGATATTTTCTTCTATCCTCATAATCGATCCGAGAGAATCTGCATTGAATTGATTTCAATCTCTTAATAACACTCACTGAGATTGTTAAAAAGGACATGTAATAAATAAGAAAATCAGCTAATGTACTTTTTATTAGTGTGAGTCGCTCATCTTTGGACATGAGATTTTTCTTCCATCCCGCTAACATCCTCTCAAACCTTGTGACAACAAGACCCCACGTCCTCACATCTTTATAACTAACTCCCAGGGGCATGCTCAGATATTTAATCAGCAACTATACCCTTTTACAACCCAAAAGTATAGGATCATATTCAGCTTAAACCTCCCACGGCTTTAATTTGGCAGTATGCCGCAACCAACTCCAGATCATGATTATTGTTTTCACTTGTCAACCACAAAAGATCCATGTTCTCATCACTGCAACAAGATATGTCTAGGTTATACAACCATAGAACCCTAAACAATAACAATCTATATCCTAAAAAACTTTAGGCCTTCGGATAGTAAATTAATGGCCACAATTTTTCAAGAACTTTAAACCTTTCAACTACCCAACCCAGTAAAAATGCCATCAACAAGGAATACTACTGAACAGGTTCAAGCATAAGTATATCTCGTTACTACATTATGTAGTAATCTTCTACACATTGCAAGAAAGAGAGTTATATCTTGTAAATAGCAACAGCTCAAAGCATTTGCAAGAAAAAAAAAGTTATTTTCCCAAGTATCTTACACATATTATTATGAGAAAACCTCTAAACAGAAAAACAACAACAATGATAATTACCTATAATTCAGTTGCAAGGAAGACGTGACCACAAAGGAATTACAAGCATATGAAATATATACATGCTTACATGCATAGACACACACACACAGACATATATAGATTATGTATCTGAGGAAGATCAAGAATAGTCCTGAACAGCTACCTGGTTTCATTTCTAGAGCAAACAATCACACTATAACTGGATTTTGTCCTCCACTATTATCCTATATATCAAATTCATTCACTTCCTACTAATATAGCTCGTGTTCCTAATATCTCTAAGGGCATGAATATACAGGTACTAATTCCAAGCAAGGCCAAAGGAAGCACACAACAATAACAGATCAGTTTCATACCCGGACATGTATTTTCTGTCAAGTTGACTGAATTCGTAATGAAATTCAACAGCTATACTGACTTTAATTGTTCTTGCTGCTACTGTGGCATTCTATTCTGCATGTGATCAATGGAATATTGGCTACTAAAATTCAGAAGGAATTTTTCTCAAAGATAGCCCTGAAGAAGTGTACTTCAATAGAAAGCTATAACTTTAAATTCGTGTATATGCCATTTGAAAATGAAAAAATGACCATTGTCACTTTAACGTCAACTAAATTACAAATGCACAAACCGTAATCAAAATCCAAATCCAAAATTTAAAGCTCCATCCGACAACCTTGATACCATTTCATACAACGATGACAAGAAATAAATGAAGCAAGAATCAGAAACCCCAGCTCACTGCTAACCAAAATATCATTCTCACAAATTGAACTCAAACAAACAGTCAAAACGAATATAAAACCACGTAAAAATGCATGAACATAGATGAACCAACCGGCTGACATGGTGTCTCGTACTCACGATCAGAGCCATCCTCTGACACACCGTCATCGTAAGCTGAAACATACTGTTGCTGTTGCCGTTGTCGCTGCTTTTGTTCCTGTTGACGAGCTTGCAAGTAAGGCAAGTTGCTGGCCTTAGGTTTTAGACCGGCGGTTTGGCTGTCACCGAGCTTGGAGTCGATCGGAGAAGCGGAGGAAGAGTGACGAGGCGGCACCGTGACGACGGAGCGTAAACGGTGGTGAGGAGGGATGTAAACGTCGCCGTACGAGGAAGGAGGGCGATCCTTCATGGCGATGAAAGGGAGTAGGAATAAGTTTTTTGTTGCTTTCAGGTGTGATTGTGAAGATGAACCAGATTCCGGAGACGGAGACAGAGATGAACACAGAGACGTCGACAGGAGAGGATAAGAGAGCATGCAATGATGAATACGGTGATTTTCGGGTCCTCGACAACAGAGAGACCAGAGAAATGCTACGAATTATCGGCCCTCATTTCTTCTTAGATCCTGGAAACGGAAGAAAATATTTGAATATTAGTGAAGAGAATATTTAGTGATACTGTCTTTTATTTATTTATTTCCCGTTTTGTTTCTTTTTTAATTTCTATTTGTCCTTTTGAACTTCTATTTAAAATCCTCTAAAAAAAGATTTCTACCTAAAACCCCCCTCAAAACGCTTTTTCTATCGAATGAAACGACAGCTAAAAGTGATGTGGGGAAGAAGTAATATTATAAAAGTAACTAATACCATATGGCTTAATTATAACGCAGTAAAAAGGTGGTTGTACCTTTTCTGAAGGAAAAAGGATGGTATTTGTACTTGAATCCGCATTATAATTATCTGATTTAACCAGAAAAATAAAGAATTAACATTCTAGGATAAAAAAATAATTTTTAAATATATCAAAATAAAATTAATGTAATAATATAATAATTCTTAATGTGTGATCGTATTAATAATTATTTATTTAATTATTTTAAATATGAACACATATGTGAGTATAATTTTTTTTTATAATTTTTTATTTTTAATCAATTACAAACTCTGAATTTACACACTACATGAACTCTTTGATCACATATTTTTTCTACATCTCATTTCATAAATCTTTCAGTAAAAACTAAGATATGATAATTTTTTTTTAATATATTTTTATTATAATTTTTTTAATTTCATAAAATTTTCTTCATATAAAATAGTATTATATTTTGTATAATTATAAAAAATTATATTATGTAAAGAAGAAGAATCTGATTTTTGTAAAAAGAATTATTTTGTAAGCTCAAAATTTACATTTAACTACAGCTCGTTACATTGTTTATTCAATGTATGGTTAGTTATTTCACTGCTTTTTAAAAAAAATATGGGTTCAAATTTTGAACTGTACAACTTAAATCATCGGGTAACTAATAAAAAAAATAATATGGAAAAAAAGTTCTTTGGAATTTAAGGTATAGAGGAAAAGAGAAAAAGAAGTCCTTTTAAGGAGCATAAAAGTTGCACATATGCTAGAGAAAACATATTTTGATTTTTTTAATAAAATTTTTGGCATGGAAGGTGAAGAATTTGCAGACTCAAAATAGATTTACTTTTAATAGTTGTAAAATACAAAGCATAAAATATATATATTATTGCTTTAACAGTTTATCAACTCTCATCTTTCATCAGGTCACCGATACAGGAAAATTTTCCTTTCCCTCAAAAGTATTATTCGGCTCTCTATTCTTCAGTAAGTAAAAAGAAGATACCCGTTTATCTATATTGGAAGTCCTCAAAATGCGAAATCTATTAACTAGTGAACACTGAAATCAAACATATATAGAGATGCAAGAGGAGATCAGTTTGCCTTGACTTTAGTAGGTGTAGCCCTTGGCGAACATTCCTTTCTTTGCTTCATCGCTTTCACCCTCAGCAGAATACTTTCCAAGCTGCGCAAGAGAGTTGGCTTTTGCACGCACCAAAAGTGCCTTCTGAGCAGCTTCAATATTTTCAGGACGTCCTTGCCATGTCTTGAGGACAGTGTTTTGCAAGGCACGTGCGTATGAGAAAGAAACATGCCAGGGGTTGGGGCTTTGGTTCATTGCATTCAGGTTCAGTGTGGCTTCCATTTCAGATTGTCCTCCAGATAAAAACTGACAATTAAACACAACCGTTAATGGAAGTCTAAATGCAAGGCATATTAGAATAAAATTATACAAATGCAAATGTGAAGATTAACAGTTTGAAAATGGGGCTATAAACTCAAAAATATAAATCACATGAAAGTATGAAGATCATGTTCTTATCTGATACCCTGTTTGCCATAAGAGTTATTGAAACATTGACCGATGTGCAAAGTGATAAGAATATTGAAGAGAAATTGTTTGGTCACAAAAAAAAAACCCAGTTATTAAAATTGTAGCATAAATTGGAGTTGAAGTCATTAACTATATAAGTTTAAGCTTTTGGATAATTGGTAACGCAATCAATTATTTGGGAAATCAGCCTACAAAAATCATTTGCTAGGATCATAAATTCAATTTGGCAACACAAGCTTAAATGTTCGACAGTTGCATTGCGATATAAGATGAGGTGAAGACGGCATATCATCTCAGATTCAATAGAAAAGTTCAGGGTATTCGTACCATGATTCCTGGAACTGCAGGAGGAACTCTCCTTCTTAGCATTGTGAGTGTATATTTGGCAATGGTCTCAGGAGAGGCCTTCTCCTTGTGTTCAGCTCCTGGGGTCACCATGCTGGGCTTCAGAAGTATTCCCTCAAAAACAACATTATTCTGGGCCAAGTAGAAAAAGACCTCTGACCAGACCTTTTCAGCTACTTCAAGAGTTCTTTCAATTGGGTGGTCCCCATCTAGAAGAATCTCAGGCTCTACTATGGGCACAAGACCATTGTCCTGCATATTAATTTGAGTTAACCATAGGCTGAAACAAACAAACAAATATTACAAAAGATGTGAAAAAGATAACCATTCAGATGGGAGAACAAAATTGTCCAACAAAAGTTCTCTTCAAGTTAGTTGTTCATTACTTAGCTTAAGTTTATGTGCATTTACTCCTACATAGATAGAAGTTAATTCCATCGTAAGCAAATTGATAGATAGTTTAATGGTTTTAGAAAAAATCAAAGGGCTTAGATAACTTAATGTTATTACTGATAGAAATGTAAACAGCCTGAGTTAAAAGCCGAAAAGTTGAGGAATCAGAACAGAAAAGGACTTCGCTAGTGAAGATATACCTGAGAAATGGCAGCATAACGTGCAAGTCCCCATGCAGCTTCCTTAACAGCCAGAGCCGAAGGACCACAAGGGATGCTAACAACTGTCCTCCTGGTTGAATAAAATGACAAAAATTATTAAATTTATCAATCAGAAAGTTTCAAGTAAACTTTAGAATGCGCAAATTTCCAGAAAATAAGATGTCTTACCACTTAGCAAAACGTGCACCTTGTTTGTAGTATTCAGCAGATCTTGAAGCTAGTCCATCCAGGCCTTGGCACCAGGATTCATTATTTGATCCTGGTAAGGGAACCAGACCCTGAAACAGGATCGGACAAGTGTCGTGTAAACACATGCATATTAAGCAAAGAGTTGTCAGCCTAAGCAATTCAAAGAACAATAGAAAACTCCCACATAGAACTGATGTTATACCTTGTCAACTTTGATGCCAGGCACGATTTTCTCATCACGCAGGCAATCCACAAACTTCTTGCCGTCTGTGGTTGACTGGTAAAGCGTTTCCTCAAAAAGAATAGCACCAGAAATGTATTCACCGAGCCCCGGAGTGGTCAGCAAAAGTTGCCTGTATGCTTGTCGATTGGCTTCATTATTTTCCAATCCAATAGATGCTAATCTCTTCCCACAAGTTGCATTTGATTCATCAATAGCAAGGATACCACGACCAGGAGATGCAATAGATTTCTACACCATCCAAAAACAAGAAGAAAATTTAATAAAGCCTCATAAAAAACTATGTTACTGTAAATTTTCTTCAAGCAATAATGAGATTGAAACTCGCAACCAGACGGCAAACCCCTATCCTCCCCCCCCCCACCCACCCCCGGGCGTCTTTTCAGAGATGCAGTAAAATTTGACCATAGATTTTTCTCATCAAAAAAGCACGAAATCATGTGGGCTAGTAATCAGCTTTCCATATGAATCAATTAAAACAAGCAAAACAAACAAAACTCCTCAAATAAAAAAATGCATTACCGAGATATCGAAATTGCGTATCTACAGCAACAATCAATCACGCAAAGTTGCAAAGCTCACCAATAATCAATCATACAATTAAACATTTAAAGAAAAAATCGAACGAGAGATAAGACTTACAGCGGTTTGAACGAGTTCGTCAGTATAAGCGCTGGCGCGGATCGGGACGACAGAAACTCGGCGGGTAGCGAACCTGGTTGACGATCCGGGACGTTGAGCGAAAGACTGTTGGCCGATCCACGGAGACGACGCCGCGTTTAGCTTTGCGAAGCTTACACAAGCCATTTTCGATTCAACAAAAACTACACCAGAAAATCAGAGGAGAAGACAATAGCGAGAGATCAGAGAGCGAGGTCCGAATCCGATGATAGCTGCAAAACAAGCGAGAAAGCTGGTTTGACCCTTCCACGATTTATATGCTAATTTTAGTCGTGCTCGACTTGGTTAGTATTATATCTGAGGCAAGATGCGTCTGGGTCCTCGAGGAGTCCGCAGGGAGGAGTCAGAGAGAGTATCGAAGACAAAGAACCTGCGGTATTACCAAACAGCTGGCTCATGGACTTTCCATTAATTACCGGATTGCCCCATAATCTTCCGAGATTCACATTTTTTTTTTATTCAGTGTCTATTCGGTGGCATTATTAAAATTTAATTTAATAATATAAAATAATTATCAATTAATTTAATATTATAGTATATCTTAATTATTAATTTTTAACTTTTTGTTATAAATTTTTATTTATTTCTCTAAGATTATGTTTATATAATATTTTATATAATTATACAAACATTATTATATTTGTCAGACCAAAAAAAATGCGAGGGGTGTTTTTGTCAAAGCAATTTCACAACGTACCGAGGGGAGCCTTTACCTACTACCATCTTACAAATATTTGACAACTACTTTTCTCAATGCCTTCAAGCTTCGGACTCTTCCACAAAAATATTATCAACATCCCATACATCACTCTTTTGCTATTTTGTGAAAACATACGTCGAAAGTATGGACACATAAAATACAATTGGTGTATTATTTTAATTTTTTCATTTTATTATAATGTACGTTGAATTTACTTTAAATAAAACTCGAAATTAAAATCTTTATTTTATATTATGATTTGAACAATTTTTAACTAATTATTTAAATAAAAATATTTATCTTTTAATTAATGAACAAGAATTTTAATTAAATTTAATATTATAAATTATATAAATTCACTTATTATTTTTGAAATATATAAATTAAAATATTTTATATATATATATATTAAATATTAGTTTATTAATATATAAAATATTAAAATAAATTTTAATAAATAAAATATTTTGTATTAATATATATATATATATAAATTATGTGTATTCTATCGAATTAAATTTGAGCGAATTATTTACGTTCGAATTTAAGTGTAAAGTATTCCGATAATTTAAAAAAAATCCGATTCGATGTGAACTGAATTGGTTCGATTTTAGTTAAAATAGGAAATGAAATTTCCTCACGTGTAGAAGAGGCCATAACCCTAACCTACAGTACAAACTACCGCTTCTTCTTCCCTCGTCCTCATAATCCCCTAAATTACAATCACACCCACAAACGGCTCTCGTTGCATTCAGTTTCTTGCGCCTGAAACAATCTCTCCAGGTATCTGATCAGTACCTCTTGATCTCTGTAGAAGGAAAATGATGTCAATAGACGCTTCCATGGAGGGAAGAAAGGAACTGCAACCACAGCAAATGATCGTGGGAAATAGGGACGGAAACGGCATCAGTTCTTTGACTGCGAGCGGACTGAGCCTGAAGCCGAATATGGACCACCACCCCAATAGTTACGATGACCTCCAATTGGAGTTCAGTCCCCTCCTCTTCAGTGCTCTTGAGAGGTACTTGCCATGTTCCGTGCTCTCTATGTCACGGAATGCTAAGGTTCAGTTCATGAAGGAGATTCTCAACCGATACTTGCCTGAGAGTGAACGTATTCGTGTAAGTATAAATTGCAACGAATTGCATGTGTGTGTGTGTGTGTGTACAAGTGCATATCCGTCTCTGTACATGTAAATTCAATCTGCGTATGCTTGTTACTGGCTTCTATGATTCTTGGTGTCAGGGTGATATGTAAAATTATTGTCATATCCTGTTTGAGATTTGAACAAGAACTGTTAGATTTTCTACCTGTTTGGAAAGAGAGCAAATATATATTCCGGTGAATGAAAATAAGAAAGCAATATAATTGTACTGCTTCTACGTGCGTTTTTTTTTTCTCAATTTGCTTTTGTGTTGCGGGATATAGGCTATGTGGTATTCCTGCATTCTTCATCATATTTAGTTTTGGTGAGATTTCCACAGTCTGATTGGGCTTGTTTCAGACACGTCTCTCTGCCAGGGAAATTGCACGGTAATCCTCATTTAATATTGATAAACTCTTATTATCTTTTCCTAAATTGGGCCATTCTTCCAAAAAAAGGGAAATATAAATACTAAGCTGAGTGATGAGTTGAATAGGCTATAGCCTTGATTTCTGGAGTTGGTTTGGTCACTTCTCATTCGCTGAGTCTTCTATCAAGGTTGCAATTGTTTTTAGGGTTGGATATGCGAGACTGCTTTTGAAGTCAAGTGACATTTGAACCATGCAGTGGCTAGACAGAAAACAAAAGTGATAGTAACATTTAACTAAATGGTCTGCAGAACATTCTTGAATTACTGAGTATGAAAAATGATGACTGTGCACTTAAGCTAGCATTGCGTCTCTGTTGTCCTTATGTGACGTGACTAACAAGGGATTTGTTTACTTTTCATGTTTTCTCACCCAAACTCATGAACATAGTAAACTATGGAGCGTACGGTTGGGTGGTACTCATGATGCACATGGCATAGTGACTGATTTTTCTTATAGTCTCTATTCTGATGCATCTTCTTTTTTCCTTTGCGTGTTTGCATGTTTGTTTTTCCTTTAATCTGGTCAAACTATCATCTGTGGTCTTTGCTTTTGAACAGATTCGAGGACTTAAAGGATACAGGCAGAAGATTATATCGAATTATAAGGTATTCAGGAGATGGATTTTTGCTGGTTGGATGTAATATT